ATCTATACAAAAAAAAAAAAACTAAAAATCAAGCTGGACTTACATCTTCCTTTTCCTCTCTCAGCTCACGAAGTCTCTCTTCCTCCAGCCATTTGGCTTGCTCAGCAAGCTTTCTCTTGTAAGCACTTGTAACAAATTTATCTTTGTCAGCATAAAGGTCTTCATCTTTGCTTCTCTCTTTGGCGAGCTTCCTCTCATATATAATCTCGTGCTCCTTTTCTCGCTGTTTCGCCTTATCCATTAAGGCTTGTATATATCTTGGCTGCAAACAAGATGCAAATGATATGAAGTGGTACTGATGATTGGGATGTTAAATAACACAAACTCGAGCAAAGAAGAACTAGTAAAACGACAAGCAAAAATTTGGAATGATTTGACTAATCATTTCTTAAACAATTACTTGCCATGACAAACTAAGATTATGTGTGAAGATATAAAACAATACGATAAGCAAATAAGAGATTTTCGACAAATCTTATTTTCCACTTCCCCTTTGCCACACCAATATAGTGTACGAGTGAATATTGAGACTAATACATAATATTTAACCAGGTACTTCTGTAATGCATATAGCTAAAGGCATCTATGATGCGTGCTCATTGTCACATTTCACAATACTTTCAAGAGTTTACTTTCAAATGACATAAGGATCATTCGCCACAATGTATGTGAAAATCCTAAAGAATAAAATCATCAGTGAAGAATAAGTAATGAAAAATTTCCAAATTAATAAGAAGAACAGCCAACATCCTTGAAAAAGCCATAATTAGCCTTTTCATCTCAGCTCACAAGGAGATGATTGTGCATCAGTTTATAACTTATATACACCGAAACATGTTCAATTTCTTGTAAATGATATTATTCAATCAGAGATGCATCATTGAGAGTACACCGATCTTCAAAACAATTGTAACACCTAACACATAATAAATTCTGTAACTATCCAAATAAATTTACCAAGCATCATGAAGAACAACAAACATCATCAAAGTTTACATTGAAGTAGCCAACAAAAATATGAACTTGTCATACTGTAATAATCTATATATATATATATATAATAAGAATTACCATTTTTCAAAAATAGTAAGTCAAATCTTGGTCAAACTCTCCTATCATTAATTACGTGCCATTTATGGCAACTTTTTTTTTTTCTTTTTAAAAAGGGGCAACATTTAATGCTGCCCTTGAAATGTGGAATTTGTTACCTTTTAGTTAACATACAATCAATCATTAAATGCATCCCTAACAATGTGGAATTTGTTCAATTACAAAATGAAGTTGATGTTGTGGAAATTGTTCAATAAGTCGATAAGTTTAAGAATTTTAAAATACAATCGTAGAAAAAATTTCATCTTACAAAATCGCGCATCAAAAATCTCAGGCTTACAGAATCCCATCACATAAATCTCGATATATAAGTTTACAAAATCTCATCCATTTGCAACAGATTTTTTAAAAAAGTATTGTAACAGATTTTTTAAAAAAGTATTGTAGCATAATGTTTTTTTTAAAGAAAAAAGGTAACACACTCTAAAAAGCTAATTTTCACTAATATTTTTTCAAATATTATTAATATTATTAATTTATATAATATTTTAGATATTTTAAACATTATTTGGACAATGAGTAAGGATATATGGAGGATACATGTACATATATGGAGGTTTAACTTAAATATTTTTATACATATTTTCTTTATAGATAGTTTAGAAAAAATATAGATGGCTTCAAACATATTTCAAGGATAATATAGAATATTTTAGATACATTTATATATGTGATATATTATTTTAGATGTTGGTAATATATATATATATATATATATACATATATATATCTAGGGATTGATTCCAATGCATCCACTTATTTAAAGTGTGGACGTGAGACTCATTTCTAGCCACAAGATTTGGTACATCATGTGTGGCCAAGATTTGCTCTTTTATTTTAATTATTTTAATTATTTAAATATTATTTTTATCCGTTGACTCCGGTGTTGACTGTTGACTTCCGGCGTGGACCGTTGACTTCCGGCGTTGACCGTTGACAACTAACCTTCCAACTGGGTTAGTTTTCTGTAGTTGTTAGGTTAGTTCTCTGTAGTTGCTAGGTTAGTTATATGTAGTTGCTAGATTAGTTCTCTGTAGTTGCTAGGTTAGTAGTTGCTAGGTTAGTTCTATGTAGTTGCTAGGATAGTTCTCTGTAGTTGCTAGGTTAGGTCTCTGTAGTTGCTAACTTAGTTCTTTGTGATTGCTAGGTTAGTTCTCTGTAATTGCTAGGTTACTAGTTGTTAGGTTAGTTCTCTGTAGTTGCTAGGTTAGTTCTCTATAATTGCTATGTTAGTTCTCTGTAGTTGTTAAGTTAGTAGTTGCTAGGTTAGTTCTCTATAGTTGCTAGGTTAGTTCTCAATAGTTGCTAAGTTAGTTCTCAAGAGTTGCTAAGTTAGTAGTTGCTAGGTTAGTTTTTTGTAGTTGCTAGGTTAGTAGTAGCTAGGTTAGTTATCTGTAGTTGCAAGGTTAGTTCTCTATAGTTGCTAGGTTAGTTGTCTGTAGTTGCTAAGAGTTGGGCGCATTTTAAGAGCTGGATGCATTTTAAGACCTGGGCGCATTTGATCTGCCCTATAAAATATTAAAATAGAATAAAATTTATCACATATTTCTCCCCCAAAAATATTAAATACATACATTACAAAGTTAGTAGAAATATTAAATACATACCGAAAATTAATAGCAACAATACAGAATTAAATATCGTCTTCAATTTTTGCCTTAATCTCAGTTATAAAATTGAATGTGGATATAAATGTGCATTATCTTAATCTCAATTATAAAATTGAACGTTGATATAAATGTGCATTATCTTAATCTCAGTTATAAAATTGAATATGGATATAAATGTGCATTATGTGTGGATTTGTTATGCATACAAAATTGGGTAACAATTTTGTCTTAATCTCAATTAGATATAAAATAAATATCATTTTATTTGTAAAATTGATAAACCTGCATATAGCGTGTAATTGTATGTTCTTTTTGCGGTAACTAAAAAATAAAAATATTTTTGAAATCTTTACTCAAGTTACTTAAAAAATAATAATAATAATTTTGAAATATTCTGATACCTCATAATCATGTCAATATTTATTTTATATATACTATGTAAATTTTCTCTCAAAAACTTTATAATGTCTTTATTTAAACTTATAATATTATAGATACTTTTATATAATATTTTATCATGTCATATTCTATCTATATACATATACATATACATATTAAATTTAAATATTCTTGATAATGTTTTCTTTACAAAAAAAGAAAATGTTTAGAAAACATCTTTCACACAAGTGAAAGTTAATGTTTTTAGACATTTTTTTTTTCCAAAATAGTTTAGAAAAGTTGTAGGTGACTTCACATCTTTTAATAACAATATAAAAGATTTTAGACATTTTTACTTATGTTAATATAATATTTTAGGTGTTTGTAATATTTTAAACATACAAATTTTATGTTCTCTTGTACAAGCTAACTGATATACGTTAAATTATATCATATGTTAACCCCACATCTTTAATTTGTTTACCCTCATCTTTAATTTATAATATTTTTTCTTACTCTTTTAAGAAAGGATAGTTTCCCACTTCTTTCATTGGGTGACTCAAACTCGAGATCTATTTATAATTATTATTTAATATTGTTTACCCGTGCATCGCACGGGATACGCACTAGTACAAAGCAAAAAAAACTAACACTTTTACCTTTCTATCCTGGCGATCCTGCTCTACGGGGAGAACTTGTTTCTCCTTCATCTTATCATACACCCCATCATAGTCAAACACCGAAGGGTCTTCTTCAAGAGCCTTCTTGTGCTGCTCTTCAATCTATTAAGAATGTGAAAGATAAATAAATAAATAAATAATCTTGCTACATCTGTCAAGCAAATAACAAATGAGAGAATAGCAAAACTATTTGAGAGAGAAAGAGAGAGACAAACATCTCTGTGAGTTTTGTTTTTGTGGGCCTGGCGCAAAATGTCTCTCTCAACATTATCTTCATCTTCGTCGTTAAATCCAAGCGGGGTGGGTAGTGGGGGTCTAGTTGGCTGTTTTTTCTGCTGTGATTGAACCCTAAGTTGCAACCCGTACTTCTTCATTTTCCTTTTATTTTCAGTGTCCTCTTTGATTTTCTTAAACCTGAAAAACGACTTCCAAATATTAGATTTCAATCAAAACAGAAACAACATAGTATTCCAATGAACGAAAAACTATTACATGAATGCAGAGACAAATGAGGTTAAACTACCCTTTCCTTAACCCCACCCCAAGGAAGAGAAGGATCACAAGGAATCTTGACTGAAGGAGATATAATTTTCAAACTGGACAAGATCCAGAAACTAAGAGTCTTACGAGGCACTAAAAATCTGCTCTCGAAATTCAAATAAAATCAAAATGCAGAATATAACGCTGCGAACTCAGGCATATGTGACTAAATCACATCACACAAGTGCTTCAAGTTTTGCAGATGAAATTTTGAAACTTCATTAACAGTTTTTCAAAAAGGACCATTTTTTAGGACTGCAACTCATCCAGACGGACAATTCACTCAGTCCAATAGACAATTAATCAAAGTACAAACAAAGAGCCCTAATTATTCACCATTACTTGCAGTTTGACATTTTACTAAAGGACCAATCTCTATCTGCACCATACAATTTTACATAATTCTTTCAAATTTAATTATCCTGCAAACATAAATATAAACATTCAATCCAAACTGTCTGGGTTCACAAAAGACAAAAAAAAAATAATCAATTTCTACACAAACTTCACAATATCAGCGAAGCAGTTAACCATCCCAACATATTGAAGAATTTGAATTAAAAAAATCCTCAGATGACATCAAACTTGTCTCTCAACACCAATAAGAGCTCTCAAGTTATTATCATACGCCATTATAACAAAATAAAAAATTCAGAAGGGATTTCGGATTTAACCATCAGAGCAATTGGTGGTAGACTATTAGTAAGTAGAAGCTCACCTACTTGTAACTTTAGCTATGGTACAATGTTCGCCGTGCCGGCTACGGATTGTGTCCGCCGGAGATCGGTCGTGAACTAAGCGCCCAGGAGGATAATTATATTCTGTTGTGCTTTTTCTAACTTTCTTTTCTTTTTTCCTTTTTCAGTTTTCTGTCATCCTTTTAACTGGGGTTTCGGCCCAATGAGTTATTTCAGGGCCTTTTCTTCATATGGGCCTTTTAACATTGGCTCTTTTACATTTTATTATTATTTAATAAAAATTTCAAAAAAAAAAAACAATTAAGAAGATTTGTAATTCTATCTAAAAATATATTTAATTATTTTAAACTAAAGATTTTTATTCTTTGTATATAAGTTTAGTTTATTTTTCATTTAATCTAAAAATTATACATTTTCTCCACAATAACTGGAAACTATGTTGAATTTATCAATGAAACAAAAAATAAATTTATATATATATATATATGATGGATCAACCTTTGTTACAAGTTAACATAGTTTTGAGAGGGAAAATATTTTCATCTATATTTAGCACGTAATTAACTTTTATCTATTAGCATATTTTATATATGAACATTAATATTTTTTCTTTTTTTTACTCAATGACTAATATTCATTAGTTATACGTTGACTTAATAGAATATTGATTGATTAGATATATTTTCAATAGGATCATAATATTATTTTTTTTTACACAATTAAAAAATTATTTATTATAATTATGAAACCTGATTTGATTAATTATATTATCATCTCATGGTTCTATATATTAATTTTATTAATTATTTTCACCAATCAAAAGCAACTAGTATTCGACTTGTGCATTTGCACAGATATAAATAAAGTATTGTGAGTTATTTGTGCATATATAATGATTAATGATTTTTCTTGCACTTTTTTGCAGACCAAATTTACAATTAAAAGAGTTGGAATATTTATTTTTTTTAATTGTGTTTATCATATTGGATGTAATGTATATTTTGTTATGTATTTTTTTATGTGAATTATTTATTTTATTTATGAATTTCAAATACGTTTTTTATTTTCCAAAAGAAGTTAATTTAAATGTAACTACAACAATAACATCTAATCACGTTAAATAGTCAATACATTATATGGTCAGCTGTAAGTAAATCAAAACTTTAGAATATTTTTTGTAATTTTGAAGTGATTAATGATCGACTCTTTGACTTCACTTCGCTTTGCTTCGTTTGTATGGTTCAATCTTTTTGTTCTATTCGTTGTAGTAATAATTAAATGAGAGGTTAAATAAATAAAAAGTAACGGTTTTTGGAGGAAAAAAGTTATTTTGCCACATAGGTATAATTTAATAGGTTTTATTAAATGCTCATGGGCCAACAATTATATATATATTAATTAAAATATATAATAAATACCAGGATAATTGTGTTTGAATCGTATTAACTTAATGACTAATTTAAAGTTTTAATAAAATTTTCTAAAATGTAATCAACTTAACCATCAAAAAGTATATCTCAATTGAATATATCATTTTTATTGGTAATACTATTGAAAAATTAAATTTAATACATTAATAAAAGTATTATTTGATGGTTGGATGAAATTAGAAATTACAAGTTTCACATTAGAAATATCTATATACATAAAAAAAATGTTTCAAGTGGTAAATATAATATTTATTATATATTATATAATAAAGAAAAATTAGTAAATAAGATAATATAGTCAAATATCATAATTAAAATTACAGCAGTTGGTAATAATTGAAATATATAATATATCTAAACATATAAATTGGATATTAATGTACTCATTATATATGTAGAAAAAAATAACTAAAAAAATAAATAGAGCCACAAAAAAATGAAATAAAAATAAAATAGTTTAGTATGAAAAAAAATTGTTGCATATGCGATTAAAATTACTACAATTTAAATTTAGTTGTCAAACAATTAATATTTCATGGATCTAGAATTACAATAAAGGTAAATAAATTTTATGGGTTAAACGTTAGTTAGTTTATCGAGAAATATGCAAAATATGAATTGTTAAAAAAAGATATAAGAACAAGATAATCGGTAATTTTATAAGTACATGTAAGTATTTATATACAAACATCTTATTTAAAATATTAGATATTTATAATATTTTATAAACTTATAAATAGTAAAAAACTATTAAAAAATAAAATAATCAAATAAAATTTATATTATTATTGACTTGTTATATTGTGTTAGATAGAATTAGCATATTATCTTAAATAATTTAATAATATTTGAATAATAAAAATATTGATTTATACTATACTCGGTGCATCGTATGGGTATCAACGTTAGTACGTAAAGTAAGATAAAAAAGACTACGTGAGATAAGCTGTGTTGAGGAAATGTAAAACCAAAATTCCAACCACAAATTTCGATAAAAGTATGAACATGGTGAAATAGCTTTACTTGTAAAAAAAGGAATAAATAAATTAATGAGAGTATGAAATAATTTGTGAAAAAATCGTAACAAAACTTAAGATCTGATCAATTTATTTTGCAGTCCCAAAATTGAAAAAAAAAAATTTAAATAATTATAATATAATAATCAATGTTTATTATTATACAATACAGTTATTACAAATTAAAAATAAAATATTTTGACAACCTAATTTAAATAAATAGATAAGAAATTACTAGTCAAAATTTTTTAATATTCAATTTGGGGGGTGTGATTGTAGCATTCTCCTTTTTTTAACATATACCCAACATTTTTTTTTTTCTGAAAATATGCAAAAATTGTATGTAAATTAATTTATTATATCTGAAAAATGTAACGAGTGGCGGAGGCCCTTTTTCTCCTCAACCCAATCTTTAAAAACGAAAATCAAGAATCTTCCAGAAAGAAACTGCAGCTCGCTTCAATCTTCAAGCTCAAGTGCTCAACCAGGCGACTCTGTTATTAATTCTACGCAATCACACACTGAAAGGTTGGGTTTGTTTTAATAACAATTTTATTAATTAATTCTTCTCGAATTGCTAAATCTGCGTATGAAATTGATTCTCGTTTTGCTGAACTCTAACCCTAACCTTTTGTTGTTTGTACGACCTTTTTTAGTTTCTGTAGGCTTTCGGTTGATTTTGTGAATTTTCCTTTTATATTTTCTTGTAATTTTCCCAATTATATTCAAAAGATATCGTCTTTGATTCTTTTTTTTTTTATGGGTTTTTTCTGCAAGTGGCGAATTTTCGTTCAAATGCAACTAAAGATTGTTAGGAATTTTGTTACATGAGTTAACTAGTAAAAGAATGATGAGAATTGCTGTATTTTGTTCAGGAATTTGATGTTATTCATCTTAATTATTTACTGGGTGATATCAGTATATTATTCTCCAGTAGCTCCCCTGAGATGGTGATTATTGCAAACTCAAAAGGACAAAAGGAAAGCTAGTTGGCTTCTAATCCGGAAAAAAAAGTTGCTCCCTCCTATTCATAATAAGTGTCGTTTTAAGAAGTTATACTTATATTTTTTTTGTCAATAATAATCCTCTTTAATGAAGATAGAGAATGATGTTTTGAGAAAAAATGAAGAGTGAATATGAAAAGACGTAGTGTATTTATTAACTAAATGAGGGTAATAATGAAAAAATATGTACTACCTCCTATTCTTTTTAAATGTCATTTTGGCTTTATCAACTATTAACGAAAATAAATGTCGTTTTGGATCTTTTGTACATATTTTTCCATTATTACCTTCATTTAGTTAATAAATACACTACGTCTTTTCATATTCTCTTCATCTTTTTTTCAAAACATTCATTTTTATCTTCATGAGGGTTATTATTGGCAAAAAAATTATTCTTAATTAATGTGCAACTTCTCAAAACGACACTTATTATGAATAGGAGGGAGTACAAAAGATCTAAAACGACATTTATTTGGATAATAGTTGATAAAGCCAAAATGACATTTAAAAAGAATAGGAGGTAGTAGCATTTTAGAACATCAGAGGCCATGTCTCGTTTCTACTCGTGTTTAGCGATATATAAGGCCAGCTTGATTGTGCGGAATTTTGTCGAAATTTGTTACAAACCTGAACAAATTTTACACTCGTCAAGCTTTAAATCATACTGTAAATGTGTCACAAAAATGTGAGTACTGTTTTTCTTAGTACTGAATTGTATCATTAAGTGTCGTTTATGTTCCAGGATTTTTGTGTGTTTAGTGGTACACTTTATGGATATTTAACGAATTGATTCGCATAGTATCTTACTTAAATGCTTTATTTGTATTGGGATATAACACTCTTGAAAAAAAACTTACAATCCTTAAGTTCAAACGTGCTTGAATATTCTCACGGCTTTGTAGTTCTCTCAAATCTTTGATCATTTCACTCGGAATCTTAGGCAAATGTTGTAGTTGGATATGTTAGGACATCAGTTATTGTCTCTTTCTTGATTCCCGAGTGAAAAACGATGGCTTACATTTAATCAGCTAACACAAAACTTTGGTCTATTCGAAATCGGAAATTGTCGATCTTGCATGGGGCTGCAAACGAGTCGAGTCGAGTCGAGCATGGACCTTGTCCTATCGAACTTTTTTCCTTCACTACTCGAGCTCGACGAGCCATGTAAAATGATGCTCGAGTCGACTCGTGAAACAAATAAGGATGCTCGAGCTCAACTCAAACTTTTAACAACTAAATTTTAAATATAAAGGTAATTTTTAATCTAAACTAACAATTTTGGCCATAAGGAAGGGCGGCCTGGAAAGGGAAATCGGTCGTTGACAAACCTGAGAGCTGAAGGCGAGGAAGTTTAACCAGAAAAGACGGGAAGAGGACTTTTTGGAAAGGACCAGATAAACCTGTTTGGGCTATGAAGTTTGCCCAGGATCGGAAACAAAACTTTGATAATTAAACTATATAGGGTATTTGTGTAAATAAAAAATCGAGCTGCTCGACTCATTTGCGAGCATTGACTCGAGCGCTCGCGAGCGCCTTGTGAGCTGCTCGACTCGTTTGCAGCCATAATCTTGCCTCTTGGGGCTGGTCTACTTATGNTTTCTTTATTTGGTTGCTACTGATTTTTTTGTGTGTTAATTAATCAGGTTTTACCAATGGGAAACAAACCCGCAAAGCAAGAGAAAAAGAGAGAAGATGTTATTTTAATGAAGGTAGTCCCTCGTGTAGACCGTGCGTACATTCGTTGGCTCACTCGGGATTTAAATAGGATTTACGACTTCACACCACAGAATCCACAAGCTATAAAGCCTTCGGAGCATTACATTGAGATTATGCGTCTGAACGGATGGTTGGATTTGGACATGGATGACCCTGACTTGGCGCATCTGTTCAAGTAAAAAGTAAAAACGACTGTTTCATGACTGGTAATTTCTCAAACGAGGGATTTTTACTCGTGAAATGTACACTTGATTAACTTGATTTAGGCATTACAAAAAGTGAATTTTCCAATTTGTATTGTGATTTCAAATTTTCTGTAGCTGTCCTTGGCAACTCAGTTTGGCCATCTTGCTCTGATGTGTTGTTTATGTATAAAAAAGAAAGGATTTCATGTGTTTGGTGAGTCTAAGATGAACCATGTTATTATTAAATCAGGGGAAGAGCTGAATGTGATTCAAAGAAACTAGTACATTACTCTTGATTTGATTTCAATAGTGCTAGTTAATATATATATATATATATATATATATATATATATATTCTGAAATCCTTACAAAAATATACTAGAAAAGTTTTTTGCATTTAAGTTTCAACATTTTTTAAAAAGATTGCAGTATTTAAAAAGAAATAAAGATGTTTGTTTTCGTTTAAATTTTTAATACTTTTAAAATTTTACATTATTATTTCTATTTAGAATGAGACTTTTTACTTGTATGATTTGTTATTCTTATATTATAATAATTTTCTAATTTATATGTAATGAATTTATGGATAACTTATATATAATTTTATTCATATTAATTGGTATTAAAAATTAATAGATGATTTCATTATACAATAAAAAAAATATTTATTTATTTTACATATGCATATGGATATCAAATCGAAACTCGACAAAATATTATTAATTTGATATATTATTGTTGTTGTATGAAATTAACAACTCAAAATCACAAACAGCAAGGTGTGTTTATAGTGTGAGATATTTATGGTAGGTTGATGGTAACACGTATATGCGCACGTCACAATTTTATATATGGTAGGTTGATGGTTAACCTCAAATTTCTTATGGGCTCGTCCTCTTTCTAGCGTCAAACTGTTGTTATATGAAATTAACAACTTAAAATCACAAACAGCAAGTTGTGTTTAAACAAAAATAAATATAAAATTGTGTTTTATTGATAAGTTCACAAGAGTACAGGAAGTCGGTTTTCTGTTCTTGACCAAAATCATTTTAAGTCCGTGTACAATGTGCGAGAAAAAGATCCTTGTACAACTATAAATTCTGCTATTTATAGTGTGGTTGTTTTTGTCTTTTTGTCCGAGGTAGATAAGATCGCATTTAATGTTGAGCAGTTTCAATAAAGCGGTGTGTAATAGAACAAAGGAACATCAATGATTGCTTCTTGTTTTGATGGTCCAATCGAATGTTTACAGCTCCTTTTACTTGGATATTTGATCCCCTCGGAAGTCGGTTAAATGGATAATTTTTAATACGGCGAATCACAATGTCGGTGAAGTCGGTCATCAGCCTCTAATAAATAGTCGGTTCTACTTTTCAACCATCTGGAAGTCGGTAATTAATTTGTACTGACTTGAGCTAATGTTCAACTATTCCTGGGGGACTATTGATTAAACGGGGCGATTAATCTTATGGATGTTAAAACCCTCCTTCTCCAAGTCGGTCATCAACAATTATATATGACAATCTTATAACAAATATTAAAATTACTAAATTTTAAACATATTTATAATTTAAGTTAGTTAAGTATTTACAGTTATAAAGTTCCAAAACAAAATATAGATTTACATAGATTGCAAAAAATTGATACATATATTACGACACACCCAAATTTGACACATATAATACAAAAGACGATTATGCATAATCATATAAGAGGTGATATCTCTGACAACATGAGATGACATGTGAGATATCATAGATTGCACATAAACACCAAAATTTTATACATAATTACGACAGAAGTCGATTCTACATTAAAATATAAGAGGTGATATATCAAGACAATCTATTACTATATAACAAGGCCAAGAATTTACCTAAAATAGTAGGTAAAATTCCACCTAAACGTTGCAAATTTACTAAATTTAAAAATTTTGAAATTTCAAATAAAAATAAATATAGATTTTATTTCCTTTTCATAGAGATTAGTTAAAAATAATTAAAGAAACTATTTCTTTTTTTCATCCGGATCTGTTTGGAATATTTATTTTTTCTTTTATTGGGGATAATGTGAATTGGGAGTGAATATCAATATATTCAAACGCCACACCTGTATGAGAGTTGCTGAGTTGGAGTCGGACACTTACTGAAAGTAATAAACTTCCAAAGTTACAAACATGAGAAATAAAACATCATCAGACAACCTAATTTTATTTTATTTTTTCATCTCGCCTTTATTACACATGAAATAACGAATTAGATATGTAACTATGTAAGCGTCCAACGTCCAATTTATTGATTATGTGCTTAGATTTAAACATCGAAAAGCTCGTTCGTTTTATTGACAAAATTTAAAGATTGAAACTAAATTGCAAACGAATAAATGTTGAGATTTAATTAACAATATGTTGAAAGCAATAAAGTTTCAAAGTTAAGCATGCGAAATAAAACATAAGCAGAGAACTTAGTGTTATTTTTATTTTTTTCATTTATGACATGCATGTCGCCTTTACTACACGTGAAATATTTTATTGATTGTGTGCTTTGATTTATAAACATCAAAAGCTTGTTCATTTTATTAACAAATTTTAAAGATCGAAACTAAATTGCAAACGAATAAAGAATTGCAAACGCATAAAGGTAGAAATTTAATTTGCAATTTAACCCGTTAAAAATAATATTGCATTAAAAAAAAAAGACCTTATATTAATGGCTGCCTAAAAGTATAGAGATCCCGCCCAATTCCATCTTCCATCTGTCCCCCAATTCCCATTTATCCATTTCAGTCTCCTTTGCACTTAATTGGTAACAATCGATAATGGAGACTATAAATCACCCGTAAACCCTTGTTTTCCTCCATCTTTTGAGCGTCGAATTATGCAGCAGCCGCCGCCGGAAGCGTCTAGAAAACAGCTGCTTCACACCTCCATGACGCCGCCGTCGGGCGGCGGCGGCTATGGATATCATCGATTTACCGCCGGCGATCGTCAGCGCCGTGATCTGGATCAGGAATTCAAGGAAGCCGTCGTCGTCAGGACACCACCTGTAAGCTTTTTGTTATTCTTTTCATTTGTTTTGCACGCTTTGCACTGGATGTTCTGTGTTCATTTGTCGTTGCTTTAGTCGGATGATTATGGCCGGTTTTGCATTTCACGTGATTACGGATGGTATCTGCTACTTAGTTAAATTGAATTAAGTTTGGGTATTAGAACTGTTGAAGGATTATTCGAGGATGGATTATTTATGTTCATCAGTCTGTATCTGGAAATGTGGTGAAGTTAGATTATTCAGATGTTAGCTAAAATGTGCTCGACCGGTATTTTTCAGCTGGCTTTAGCCTAATGATTATGTTTCTCTTGTTCTGTGTATGCAAAGATGTTTATTCAGTGAGCTTGCTTTTTGATCATAAGCTGATGAATATGGGAATAATTATTTGTAGCGACGCATTGCATGAGTTATGATTCACTTGCTTAGGTCTTTTCATTCGTTGCCTTACACCGGTGTTTGCATTTTCCAAACGATGGATCATTCCAAATTGTATACGTTAATCATTAGTGACAAGTGTATAGAAGCTTGATGTTTGGTGGATTATATTGCTTTGTGTATTTTGTCTCTTAAATTTGCAGTGTATCATTAAAATCGTATGGACAAGTTATGTTGATGTCCTCCTTTAGTTGCTTTGGCGATCAAATTCTCATTATTTACTTGCGTCTCTTGTGAGTTATGTAGTGGTCTAAATTTGCCTTTTAGCTTATATGGGAAACCTTATTACCTGATCGTTTGTTAGTATAATTACTGTATAAGTGTGTTGTCTTTCTTCATCCAGTTTTATTTCAGGTGAAACTTACTTGATTTGAGACATAGTTTTAAATGACGTGTCACTAGATTTTAGTCATAGTTTTAAATGGTGCCACTGCGGAGGCCCTGTCTCCGAAGCGTGCGCCTCACGGCGCATTTCTCTGGGCAAATACGATGAAGAGGCGCGCCTCACCCCAGTTGCGCTTTAACTATTAAAAATAAAACGTTATGGGATCTGAAATTGGGCTCTTCTCCTTCAGATTGAATTAGTGAATCTAAACTAGGTTCTTTTAGATTAGGGCAAAGTACCTTGATAAGCTACTTGGATCTGAAAATTGGAGGGAATAATGGCTGACTCATCCCATTCCGACCTCCTCTGACCACCGGCCGCCACATAGCTGCCGCTGACCCTCCGTTTCTTTTTTGGTTTCCTTTGTTTCATTTTTCTTTATTTATGTGATTAGATTATGGGTTGCTCAAGGCTAGGAATGTTAAATCCAAATTGTGCATTTTGAAGAATACAACCTCTGATGGTTATAAAATTTAACTGTGGGCTGCTTTTCAGTAAAACTTGTCAATTTCATTTCCGTTTCACATAAATTCAACAACATAACCTTAATATTTTTTCCTTTCTGGGAGTACCGTAATCACATTTAGATTTTAGCTATTGCAAATTAGGATGCTTTCATTTTATTTTTTAGGTCTATTTTATTTTCTGTTTTCAATGTTTTTTTTAAAATAGATTCCAATTTACTTGTGTTCTATACTTGTGACGTGTTTCTTGCCTTATCGAGGGATATTTGAGGTTGACATTGCCCTTTGAACTTAAATACGTAACCAGCACCATCTATAGTAATTATTTATAACAATTTGCTATACATGTTGCCGAGGCCTCGCTTATTGCATCATGGCACATTCCATGGGCAAATTGCCATTTAAAATTTTGGTTTGAGATCAATTATTTGTTGAGTGTGATCATGACATTTTATTTCTCTGCGAAAGCCATCCAAGAGGAAGAGTGGAATGCTCGAGTGTGAGACTGGACATGCTGATCAAAACGTTGGTCCCTTCCGGACACCTGTCTCGGGAAAGACAGGAAAAGCCCAACCGAGAACAAGTAAGGCAAATAGAGCGGGTCCTCAGACTCCCTCAGGAAACATTGGTGAGGATTTTCATTAGACTTTATGTTTAAATTTCAGATCTGTATTTATGATATCGTCTCCCTTCCTCTCCCCTAACGAACATCCGTGTATTTTTGCAGGTTCCCCTGCTAGCAATATTCTCACTCCAAATGGTACCTGTCGCTATGATAGCTCTTTAAGTAAGCAATATACTTACCTTAGGGAACTTTATATTCACCCCTCCTTTGTGTTTGTTTGAATCATCTTTTTGCTATGGAATATGAATAATCAATTGTGTTAGCATTCTAAAGTTTTAATTGGTCCATAGGGGGACAAACTCAACGAACTGTGTTTTTAACCCCCAGGTCTCCTAACAAAGAAATTCACCGATCTGATAAAACATGCAGAAGATGGTATTATAGATTTGAATAATGCTGCAGACACACTGGAGGTGATTGCACCTGTCATTTGATGATTCGCTTTGAACAGGTCTTAGTGGCTGAAAGATTTTATCTTGGTTTATTGTGTTATTTTCCTCAACAGGTCCAAAAGAGGCGTATATACGATATAACTAATGTTCTTGAAGGCATTGGTCTTATAGAAAAGAAACTCAAAAACAGAATCCAGTGGAAGTAAGGACATCACTTATCTGATATAAATTTGTTTCGGATTTAGCCAATCCCTTTTCCTTGAAATAAATAAAAAAATACCATTTACCAATTGATATTTTTGTCAAATAGGGGTGCGGATGTCTCCAGACCAGCACAAGCCCAGGGCAACATCTCTGGTTTAAGGGTAAGAATATAAACAGAATTTTGTGGAAATGCTATATAGTTCTTATTAATCTTTTTTCTTTTTTCTTTTGTTTTCAGAAAGAAATACAAAACCTGAAGATGGAGGAACAGGGATTAGACAAACGAATTAGGTCTCAAAAATTCCTTGCCAACTAGATTTTTTTGTCAATTTCGTCTTTGAGCGTGCCAGTCTTATGATTAGCCTTTTATTGATATACATTATTTTACAGAGAAATGCAAGAAATATTGACAGACCTCAGTGAAGATGAAAATAATCAAAGGTGACACCACCATTCTACCGGATTACTGAAATCATATTTATGATTTTAGTTCAGTCACTCAATTTGTTTTGTCAATTTATCTGCCAGGTGGCTTTTTGTTACTGAAGAAGATATCAAGAACTTACCTTGCTTCCAGGTACACAAGTTTCCAATCAACCCACTATGTATATATCTTTGGATTAACACTAAATCATCATGGTTGTGCTGCTTTCTCCAGAATCAAACTTTGATAGCAATTAAAGCTCCACATGGCACTACTTTAGAAGTTCCTGATCCAGATGAGGTTAACTTTTCTCCAGACACTAATTATTTAGACCCACCTTTTTATGATTTTCGGTGGGCTGTAATTCCGCCATAAATTCTGTTTAATTTTTGTACCACAGACTGTAGATTATTCACAGAGGAGATACAGAATAATACTTCGAAGCACCATGGGACCTATAGATGTTTATCTCGTCAGGTATATAAAACTTCACTTCAGGACATTGAAATTTGACTCTTTCATATCTGCTTTATGTCTACCATATCACGTTACTGTTCTATATTTTTCATTTTGTATAATATAGCCGATTTGAAGAAAATTTCGAGGAGATGAAAACGGTTGAGGCACAACCAAGCATTCTCCAAACATCGAGTGTCAATAAGGAAGCTCTCGCGCATGCACCAATGGAAGAGATTACCGGGCATAAAATTGATTGCCAGGGATCGAAAGCTCAGGAGATGTGCCCGGGCACGAGTACATCACAAGATTTTGTGGGTGGGATGGTGAGGATATTACCAGATGGTGATGTAAGTCAATCACTTAAAGCTGTTTTGCCTCATTACAAAAATAAAACCTATCCTCTTTCAAAGTATGAAATTTCCCTTTCGATGTATGTCACTAAGTATTTCACAAGTTGCATGCCACCGAGGAACTAATCTAATATAACTGATCTAACCTCAATGGGCTACTCATAGTGTTTGTTGGTGGTATCTTTACTTCATTTTAGAAAATAAAATAGCCGAGAAATTTATTGCATATAATCCTAACATTAGGAGTGGTAGCTGCTGATAAGCTAGCTTATAGCCGATAAGCTAACTTTTAAGTGAAATTCGAGCTTGTAAAATTAGCTGATAAGCTAGCTGAAATAAAAATTTCAATGGGCTTATTTGAGAAGCTACCCAGGGAAGCTTATGAGATAAACTCGAGCTTTTTGAAAAAGCTCGTCCTACCAAACCAAACTTATTGAATACATGAAGCTTATAAGCTAATCAAATAAGCTATAAGCTAGCTTATATGCTTACCAAACACAACCTTAGTTAATTCAAGCACTAGTGAGAGAGAACAAATCCTTTCCCTAGAGAGGTGGATTATATATACAATCTTTAAGCATTCACGTGTTTTTGACAGTGTTTATCCGAACTCTAAATGTGTTATTTTGTTCGGATATCTTGCAGACTGACGCTGATTATTGGCTGCTGTCTGATGCCGATGTGAGCATCACCGACATGTGGGGAGTGCAGTGTATCCTAAATCAAAATTTTCTTCATACAGTCATCAATAACTTAATAAATCAAGATTTTTTTTTTTTTTTTTTTGACATGAACTAAATTCCATGACTAAATACTATTAGCTGGATTCGATTGGGATACTTTGAACACACTACCCGAAGATAATGCCATGGCTAACCTCAGCTCACCACCGGTTCATTCTGCACCGGGAGCTAACTGCAGGGCAAGACAATTTCTTGCTTGCAAGACTACAGAGAATATGCAAAGTGAATTGGTTAGAAAAATGCTGTGAGCCTGTTGAAAGAAAATGCTTTGATTTAGGGTTTGCCAAAGAGAAAACACACTACACAAGATGGGGACGAATGAATGAAAATGCGCCAAGTGTCATGGGTCGATGGCTGTTGATTGCTGATCTCACATTTCATCTGGTGAGGGCGTTTAACATTTTCCCTGATTGGACTTAATTTTTTTGTTCTTATATTATCAGAATATAAAATGGTAAGTTGTAAATTGGGGTTGGTTTGGTTCCCCCAGTTTGTTATAACTTATAAAACTGGAATGAAATGTAGTGTCAGATATGGTCATGAAAATACATTTTTCTGGTGAATTTATAGAGAGGTCCATTTATTGACTCAAATTTTATGAAATCACTAGCATTTTTCTTACATTTCATGATATATATATATATATATATATTTTTTTTTATATAATTCATTATAATATATTATTTTCATTCATGTTTCATTTACAGACTTGTTATTCACTCTATTCTGACTCATAATATATCAAATTAATCGACATTTGGTGACATAAATAGGAATGTCCATTTGAGAAGTTACTTGATAACTATTTTTTCCTATGCAGACACAAATATGTTAAAACTTGACCAAAGCACTGTTCAGTAGGAAGATCATCCTACTGAACTAATAGATACACACATCAACAGCTATTATCTGTTATTTGCACGTAATGTGAATTGCATGGTAGATACCTATTGAAGTTATAGATACATACAGCAACAGCAATTACTGTTTTTTGCACCTAAAAAAATGTGGCATTACATAGTATATATATATATATATATATATATTTTTTTTTTAACAACTTTTATACTTTTTCCTGCTCGGCTTTCTTCCCGATCCAACTAGCAACGATCGGTGTAAGAGCCACAGTGGGTGGAAACCTAATAGGCGAGGCTGCCTTATGGGCAGCATAAGCCAATGCAAAAGTCCCGACCTTTTCACCCGTCTCGTCAGTTGAGATCCCGACCTACAAAATAAAAATAATAACAAGTTCAAAAACAAAGTGACCAAACCACGGTATTCTCATGTATTTAGCTATAATACAAGTTAAAAAACAAAGTGACCAAACTATTTGTATTCTCATGTATGTAGGCTGTGTTTGGTAAGCATATAAGCTAACTTAAAGCTTATTTGATTAGCTTATAAGTTTCTTGTATTCAAATAAGTCTGGCTTGGTAAGACGAGCTTTTTCAAAGAGCCTGACCTTATCTCACAAGCTTCCAGGTAGCTTTTCAAAAAAGTCTTTGAAATTTTTATTTCAGCTAGCTTATCAATGAATTTTACCAAACACTTTTATCATATAAGCTAGCTTTTCAGCCACAAGTCATAAACTATAAGCTATAAACTCGAAATTCACTTAAAAGCTATATAAGTTTACCAAACATAGCTTTAGCTATAATACAAGATGATGAAGTCAGTTTGTGAGCGAGAAGATGGTACCTTGTGCAGCAATGCTGGTACATCTACACCAGAACTTACTAGAAAGTAGCATAGCCCAAAGGATATCAAAGAAAGGGTTATGGAGGTTGCTAAGTACGCGCCTCCGTATTTTGCTAGGAGTTCCTTTGCTTGGTCTCCTTTCGACTTGGTTGTATCTTTGCTTTCTTCGTTCGTTTCTTTTGATGAGAATATCTGCATTCAGGTAGAATCTGTGAATCAAAATCGAACAACACGGGAGCTCGAAAATTTACACAAAGGGGAATGAGATTCAGTTCGAATTCGGATATGATAAAAGAGGGATTTTGGCACCTTAAAAACATCACAGCAGTTTTAAAAACAGAATTAAGTTTCAAATTCAGATTCATACTTCATGAACACCTGTTGTGAGTCAAAGGTGCTCTAAATAAGTGCTGACTATTTATACGAGAAATAACTATTTCTTGGGGATTTTATTTTCGAGTATTAAATAAAATTCAAGAACCCAACTTTTGCTTTCCCTGAATCATCTTTTCGTATTTAAAATTCCATTTTCAAGAACTTGATAGAAATAAAAAATGAAAGCTTTACCAAACACAAACTATTCAAGAAATCAAGCAAAAATAG